ACAGTCTACAGAAGACAGGAGGGATCTAAAAGTTCTCGAAATAAACGTGCATTCATGAAGAAGACAGTTCATCCAATAATTTTTTGGTCTTTTTGAGACAGGGTCTCCCTGTATCCCTAGCTGTCCTGGAACTCACTATGTAGGCCAGGCTGGCTTTGAACTCACAGAGATTCGCCTGCCTCTGCCTCCACCGAGTGCTGGGATTAAAGGCGTGCGCCAACACGCCCAGTGAAAATTATTTTTATTTATGTGCATGTGTGGACTGCCAGCATGTAGGCAAATGCACCCATGTCGTGCAATGCTCAGGGAGGTTAGAAGAGGCTGTCGGATCCTCTGGAACCAGAGCTCCGTACAGTTGCCAGCTGCCACGTGGTTGCTGGGATTTGAACCCGGGTCTTCTGTAAGACCAACCAGTGCTCTCAAGAGCTGAGCCATCTCTCCAGCCCCTCTCCAGCCCTTTTAATTATGTATATGCTGTGCAGAAATATGGGCACACCAGTGCAAGCACCCACACAGGCCAGAAGAGGGTGTTGGAGCTGAGTTAAAGACAGTTGTGAGCCACCATGTAGGTACTGGGAACCGAACTCTGGTCTTCTGTTAGAGCAGTAAATTGAGTGATGGGGTCTCACATAGGCCAGACTGGCCTCAAACTTGCTATGTACCCAAGGATGACATTAAACTCTTGATCCAATCCTCTCATCCCCACCTCCCAAGTGCTGGAATTCCAGCTGTGCACCACCAATCCCCGTTTATACTGTGCTGGGGATTGAATCCAGAACTTCATGCATTGAAGTACGAGGCAAGCACTCAATCAGTTGAGCTACATCCAACATTCCCCTTCCCCATGCTGCTTTTTGTTTGTTGGAGAAAAGGTATCTTATCGTCCAGGTTAACGTCAAACTATGTGCCCCACGATAACCTTGAACCCCTCATCTTCCTGCCTCCACTTCTGCAGTGCTGGGATTATAGATATACACCACTATGCTTTTCTATTTTTTGAGCCAGAGTTTTGCTCCACAGCCCAGGTTTTCTATTTCCCTGTCTCAACCTCTCGAGTGCTGGGGATACTGGTGGAAACCACCACTCCACCTCTCATCAGAAATTTGCAATGAATTCATGGTGACTGTAAACCACTGTCGGATGCCTACCTGTCCTGAAAGGTGACCCTTCTCTGGAAAGACCTTCCGTTCTTGTGGGAAGCTAAGGCATTAGGATGTGGCAATCCAGTAAAGCTCTCTGCATCTGTCCCATGGCTATTGAGTTCTCTGACTTGAACCGTTTCCTCCGAGAGGGAGGTTCACCAGACTCAACAAGCTAATGAAATTTATCAGGCTTGGGAAGTTCACAAAATTTACAGAACTCGGAGAGTTAGAAAGTTCCAAGATTCATAAGGCTCTCTTCCTAAAGTTCTACAGTAGTATGCTAGGCATGGTGGCACGTGCCTTTAATCCCAGCACTCAGGAGGCAGAGCAGGTAGATCACTGTGAGTTCAAGGCCAACCTTGTCTACATAGCAAGTTCCAGGCTAGCTTGGGCTACAGGGAGACCCTGTCTCCAAAAGACCAAAAAAAAAAAAAAAAAAAAAAAAAGTTCTACAGTAGTGAACACTTGCTAGAGAGGAGACTCTTCAGAGGCATTGCCTGTCAATGGAGCTGGAAACTTCAGGAGTACAGATTGCAGGAGTCACCAAGGGGGCCAGAGAGATCTCTCAGTGGTTAAGAGAGTGCTGCTCTTGCAGAGTACCCATGTTCAGTTGCCAGCACCATGTCACGCAGCTCAGAACCACCTGTGACTCAAGTTACAGGGGATCCAATGCCTTCTTCTGGCCTCTAAGGGCACCTGCACTCACATGGCACACACACAGATACATACACATAAATATAAATCTTGACAGGCTGGAGAGCTGGCTCAGTGGTTAAGAGTATGAACTGCTCTTGCAGGAGACCCAAGGCAGTTCTCAGCATCTTTGGGTGGTTCACAACTGCCTGTAACTCCAGCTGCAGGGGGATCCCATGTTTCTGGCTTCTGCAGGCACCTGTACTCACATGTCAAAAATAAAAATAAAGCCGGGGGGTGGGGCTTGAGACACGGCTCAACGGTTAAGAGCACTTGCTGCTCTTCAGAGGACCTGGGTTTGGTTCCCAGAACCCACATCAGGCAGCTCACAACCACCTGTAACTCCAGCTCCAGGGGATCTGACATCCTCTTCTGACCTCTGCGAGCATCTGCACACAACAGGTGCACACAAATACACATAAGCATATATATATACATAGAAAATAAAATTTAAAAACCCTAAATCGGGGCTGGAGAGATGGCTCAGCAGTTAAGAGCACTGGCTGCTCTTGTAGGGGACAAAGGTCGATTCCCAGCAGTCACATCGCAGCTAACAAACATCTGTAATTCCAGTTCCAGGGGATCTGATGCCCTCTTCTGGCCTCTGCGGGCATTTCAGGAAACAGGTGCACTTACATACATTCAGGCAAAACACTCATCTACATAAAATAATTAATTTTAAAAAATACTAAACAGGGGACTGGAGAGACACAAGTTTCAGGTCAGCTGGGGCTACAGAGAGATCCTGTCTCAAAAAAAAAAAAAAAAAGAAAAAGAAAAAAAGGGTTTCTGAGCAATCCAGGGAGGCAAGCCAGTAAGCAGCCTTCCTCTGTCTGTGGTCTTTACTTCCATTCCTGTTCCAGATTTTGGCCCTGGCTTCCTTTGCCATAGCAACAGAAGCCAAACTAGAAGATCCTGCTTCCACCTCCAGAGTATTGAGATGACAGGCGTGTGACCCTAGGCCCTGTTGCCTGCTGTGGTTTGAGCAGTGGGCTTCCTGTTGTCATCTGTGCTCAGCCCCATGTGTTTTATTTTTAATCTTTGTGGTGCTAAGAATCAAACCCAGGGTCTTTTTCAGAGCAGACAAGTGTTCCATCACTGAGCTACAGCCCCAACCCTTGCCTGCCTCCCCTTTTTTCTTTTCTTAAAAAAGAAAATGGTTTTATTCGTTTTTTATCTTACATGTATGATTGTTTTGCTTGCATTTATGTAAGCGTACCCATGTCATGCAGTGCCCATGGAGGCCAGAGGAGGGAGTCAGAGCCCCTGGAACTGGAGTTTAGGTTATTAGTCACTATGTGAGTGCTTGGAATGGAATTCCAGCCAGTGCTCTCAACCCATGATCCAACTCTCCAGGCCACCCCAAGCCCCCACCTCCCCCGCACCTCCATCCTATTTTTTTTAGACAAGGTTTCATCCTGCAGCCCAGGCTGGCCTATAACTCACAATGCTGTCCAAGTTAACCCACCTGTCTTAGCCTCCTCAAAGTTTGGAATTATAGGCTTGAACCATCATGCTAGGCTCCCTGCTTCCCTTCTTGTTTGTGACTCACTTGTGTGAGGTAGTTTGGTAGCCATCTTTCAACCTTAGGACTAGAGCCTGGCATCTGTAATCCCATCCCTTGGGAGGTAAAGGGGTCAAGAGTCCAAGCCTAACTTTGATGACATGGTCGATTCCAGGCCAAACAACAAAGCAGAAAGTCTTAAGAAAAATGGCTGACATATAGAAGTTGATTGAATTGAAGAAATTGGGGCTTTGGGGCCAGCAAGATGGCTCAGTGGGTGAAAGTGCTTGCTGTTAAGCCTGATGACCCAAGTTCAAACCCCAGAACACACACATATAGGTAGAAGGAAAGAACCTACTCTGCAAAGTTGTTCTCTGACCTCCACATACATGTCATGGCTTGCCACACACAAGAAATAGAAGTTTAATTAAAAAATTTAAAAAAGAAATCAGTGCTTAGGTAATGTTTATCCACCACCTACTGGATGGAGACTCTGCTATATGCCAACATTAAATAAGTATTCTTTCTGCTAGACATGCCCAAAGTTGGGTAGATGGTTACAGGTAGCTGATGCATTCTAATAGGCACAGGGCTCATGGCTCACCTTTTCTTGGAGCTGTAGGAGAGACACCCAGAATGCTCGCTGACTGGCTCTCAAGGGAACACAAACCATTGTGTACTGTAGCTGTAAGACACATTTGGGGAGGTCAGCAGTCGGTGACAGTAGCTGCTTTTTCTTTTTTTCATAGTTGGGGACCAAACCCAGGGCAGATCTCTATGAGTTCAAGGTCAGTGTGGGCTACAGAGAGGACTGCAGGTTGCCCAGGACTACATAATGAGACCGTGTCTCAAAAACCAAACCAGGCTGGAGAGATGGCGCAGCGGTTAAGGCCACTGGCTACTCTTGCAGAGGACCTGGGTTTGGTTCCCAGTGCCCATATGGCAGCTAACAACTGTCCTCAACTCCAGCTCTGGGGGGAAATCTGACACTCTCTTCCTGCTCCATGTGTATTTTTCGCACATGGTGCACTTGCGTACAGGCAGGCAAAGTACTCATATACATAAAATAAAAATAAAAAACAAATTTAAAAATAAATGTTTAATTATTCATTTACTTGTTATTGTATGTTTGTTTTATTTTTATTTCAAAAATATTTAAAGTATTTAGTTAATTAATTTTTTGTGTCCGAGTGTATTGCCTACGTGCATGCATGTCATGCAATGCCCATGGAGGTTAGAAGAGGGCATCGGAGTCCCCTGGAACTGGAGATAGTTGTTAGCTGCCATGTGGATGCTGGGAATCAAACCCAGGTCCTCTGGAAAAACAACAGTTCTTAACCACTGAGCCATCTCTCCAGCCCCATACTTACATTTTTTTAGTATTTTATTTATGTGTACGAGTGTATTGCCTGCATGTATGTAAGTGCACCCGTGTTGTGCAACACCTGTGGAGGTCAGAAAAGGGTGTCCAATTCCCCTGGAACTGGAGTTACAGATAGTTGTTAACTGCTACGTAGGTGCTGGGAATCAAACCTAGGTATTCTGCAAGAACAGCCAGTGCTCTTAACTGCTGAGCCATCTCTCTAGAGCCATTATTTATTTATTTTTATGTGTATGCGTGGATGTAAATGCACTGGTGCATGCAATTCCCGCAGAGGTCAGAAGAGGGTGTAGGGCCTCTTGGAACTGGAGTTAAGGATGGTTGTTAGCCACCATGTGGATGCTGGGACCCAAATCTGGGCCCTCTGCAAGAACAGCCAGTGCTCTTAACTGCTGAGTCATCTCTCCAGTCCCAATAAATGATTTTTTAAGGCCATCCATCGGAGTAGAAAGGTAAGAATTTGGGAAGAGGAAGGGAATCAGGAGGAGTGGGAAGAAAACAGGAGAGAGCAATGATCAAAGTACATTATGTATGTCTATGAAAATGTCATAATGAAACCCATTATTGCCTGCAATGAATATATGTTAATAAAGAAAACAAATAAACAAAACAAACGGCCAGTAAGATGCTTAGCAGATAAAGGTGCTTTCCACCAAGACTGATGACCCGAGTTCAATTCCCGGGACCCACATAATGGAAGGCGAGAACTGACTCTGGCCAGTTGTCCTCTGACCTCCACATGTATACTATGGTACCCCTACCACCCCCGCAACACACACACACACAAATGTAATTATTTTAGAAAGAGGGGGAGAGAGAGGTCTAGGCAGAAGACAGTATGGCTCAAGATAAAAGGTCTGAAATTGGAATTCTAGGTCTTCTAGCTTGTGAGGGATCAGGGAATGGGTGGACTTCAGGCTGAACTCTCCACCCCCTCCTTACCCCTCACCAGGTCTTCTCTCCTCCCTCTCTCCCACAGGTCCTTCCTGTGGATCCTGTAGAAGGTGTTGAGAGCCAGCAGCCAGGCCTCTCTTGTCCCCATATGGGCCACCAGCAGCTGGGCCATTTCTAGGGGACCAGCAGTCTCCATGCGTCCCCAGGGGATCTTGTCCTGGCCTGGCTCTGCTGTTGTTCCCAGGTATAACTTGAACTTCTTCAGTTCCGCAGCCTCGAGTTCTTCCAAGTAGGTGGACAGGCGGTAGAGGCCATCCCTGGCTGTGGCTGGTAGCATGGGGGTGCTACACTGGAGCTGGAGGCTCTACCGTTTCTCTGAGGGGGGACAAAAGGCAATTCCAGCATGCCACCACCAGCCACCTTCGCACTGACAAGTAGAGGGGGGCAAGGGTTTGGCAAATGGGTGTGGCCATGTGGCTGAGGGGGAGGCAAGTTCTCTCTCTGCTGCTTGCCTCTCTCACCAAGTGTTTGCTCAGAGAAAGAGGAAGTGAGGTATGAGGCAACCCCAAGAACGCTTGACTGTAAGAATGACTTTAACTTCAGCTCTGTCTTCCCAGCTCCCTTGACGGGAACAGCCACTCTTTTTCCACCTTTCAGAAAGTTCTGTGTAGCTTGAGTAACCACAATGGAGGCTGGGCCTCTTCCCAGAAGATGCAAGAACCTGCGGTGTGTGTGTGTGTGTGTGTGTGTGTGTGTGTGTGTGTGTGTGTGTTTGTGTGTGTGTGAGGGGGCTGAGGAAGTGGCTCAGTTGGTACAGTGCTTGCCTAGCATGCATGAAGCCCTGGGTTCCAGCCCCAGCACTGCAGGAAACTGGGTCTAGCTGGCCAAATGGTAAATTTGAGGCCAGCCACACACACACGCACCACACACACACACACACACACACACACACACACACACACTAAAGAGGGGTGAGATGAGGTGGGAATAGAGCACAGTGGCGGAAAGCTTGTCTGCCATGCACGGGACCCTGGGTTCAATTCTCAGAACCATTAAAAAGATTGTGTATGCGGGGCTGGAGAGATGGCTCCGAGGTTAAGAGCACTAGCTGCTCTTGCAGAGGACCCGGGTTCAATTCCCAGCAACCACATGGCAGCTAACAACTATCTGCAACTCCAAGGGGGTCCAAAGCCCTTTTCTGACCCCTGAAGGCATCATACAACATAGGCACATTTACATACATGCAGACAATATACTCATACACATAATATAAAAATATTTAAAAAATTTGTGTATGGTGCCAGGCATGGTGGCATGTGCCCTTAATCCCAGCACTTGAGATGCAGAGACAGGCGGATCTCTGTGAGATTGAGGCCAGCCTGGTCTACATAGAGAGTTCTAGATCTGCTGGGGATGCAAGGAGACCCTGTCTTAAAAAACCACAGCCGGGCGTGGTTCCACACGCCTTTAATCCCAGCATTCGGGAGGCAGAGCAGGTGGATCTCTGTGCGTTCAAGGCCAGCCGGGTCTACATAGTGAGTTCCAGGACAGCTGAGGCTGCAGGCTACAGGGAGACCCAGTCTCAAAAGAAAAAAACAAACAAACGAAAAAACCCAAACCAAACCAAAACAACAACAAAGAAAAATAAAAATTGTTTGTGGTTGTGGAGACACTGGATTTAGTGCTGAGGCTGAGGCATATAAAGACTGCAAGTTCCAGGCTGCATTAGGCTTTACGGCAAGTTCAAAACCAGACTGAACAACATAGTGAGATCGTTTCCCAAATGAATACACACACACACAAACAAGGCTGATTGCTCCACGGGTGAAGGGCTTGCTATACACACTCCAGGACCTGAGTTGGGATGCCCAGAACTCACACAGAGCTGGACTCACTTCTGGAAGTTGGAAGACCAGTGGATCTGGTGCACACAGCTGCAAGCAGCCTTGTCTCAAGCTTGGGGGAGGCAGAGACTGACACCCAGGTTTCCTCTGCTCTGGCCTGCACACATGCAATGTGGCAAATGCATGCCTGTACTCACACACACAGACCTCACATACATACACACTCATAAGCACACATATGTACATACATCACAGACAGAAACACAAGTACGTGTATACACTCTCACACACATCTCATACACACATCACTTAAAGACACAAACACACAAATACACAACCAAAAAGTTGTTTTGTTTTTTTTTAAAGTCAGTCATGGTAGCTCAAGTCTATAATTCCAGGATGTGGGAGGCTGAGACAGGAGGATTGCTATGAATTTGAGGCCAGCCTAAGCTACAGAGAGAGTCCTTTTCTAATCTGGACTACAGAGTGAGATTCTATCTCACAAACAAACAAACAAACAAACAAACAAACATCTATCACTCAAAGTCAGAGGTAGGTGGATCTCTGTGAGTTCCATGCCAGCCTGGTCTATATAAAGACTTCCAAGCATGCCAGGGCTACATAGTAAGACCCTGTCTCCAAAACAAAATAAAACAAACACCTCACACTCAGGGGCTGATGGTGAATGGCTCTGCAGGTAAAAGCACTTGCTGTAAAGATTGACAATATGAGTTCTGAGTTTGACCCCTAGTACCCACATGATGGAAGGAGAGACTTGACTCTTGGAAGTTTGTCCTCTGACTTTCATACATGTGCTGTGACACACCCCCATAAATAAACAAATGTTATTATTAAAAGGGTTGTTTTTTTTTGTTTTTTTTTTTTGCTTTTTGAAGCAGGGTCTCCTTGTAGCCCCAGCTGTCCTGGAACTCACTATGTAGAGCAGGCTGGCCTTGAACTCACAGAGATCCGCCTGCCTCTGCCTCCCAAGTGCTGGGACTACAGGCGTGCGCCGCCACGCCTGGCTTAAAAGTTTTTTTAATATTTATTATTTTTATTTTATGTGTATGCGTGTATTGCCTGCACGTAGGTAAGTGCACCCATGTCGTGCAATGTCTGTGGAGGACAGGAGAGGCTGTGGGATAGATCCCCTGGAACTGGAGGTTAGCTGCCATGTGGGTGCTGGGAATCAAACCTGGGTCTTCTGCAAGAACAACCAGTGTTCTTAACTGCTGAGCCATCTCTCCAAGGCCCAAAAGTTTTAAAATTAAAAAACACTGCATGCATAACCATTGTCTGCATGAAGAAATGGAAGTCAGCTCATCTCAGAAATCACCTGTTTCACTCCAGCCATTTGTTTTTTGAGACAAGGTCTTATGTCATCAGTCTGGCCTTGAACTCACTAAGTAACTGAGGATGACCTTCAACTACTCTTAAAAAAAATATATATTATATA